TCTCAAACCAATCTCTCACAGTTACATTTGTCTTTTAAGTGTGTGTGTTTGAGTGAATCTGTGTGTGTGCTACTGTATTTTATGGCCCTGGGGGGTCAGAGGTGTTTATATGGGAGAGATGACTCCCTTATTGCTTCCATAACCTGAGTATATCATATGAAACCATGTCATTTACAGTGAATGGGAGCATCTGGTCAGTTTAAACGTAATCTAATGAAACGAGGCAAAGGCCTGTATGGCTGTTCTTACAGTCCTTCATCCAAGAGACTGACCGAGTCAGACGGCTGCTGGGTGGGGCAGGCGGCAGATGAAGAGTATGGGCTCTGCTTCGGTGGGTCTATTCTTCATAGTATGGATCAAGCTACTGCTACTAGCACTCAGATCCCTGATTTCATTACTTATTGTATAGACTCAATTAGAAGAGGGGCATCTTTTTAGAAGAAAATCAAAGATACAAAGATATGCTCCAGAACATCCAGCACACTGATGTCTATAACCAGGCTCCCTCCCATATCACTTATCTTACCCATGACCATGCTCCGCTCTATATTTTCATTTTATGTGCTATTTATCTTCTAACTTTAAAAGGCAGAGTGAAGCACAGGGGCTCATAATAAAGATAAAAACCAATGCAATAAAAAAAAAAAATCCCTTTTCCCCATCTTTACATTTATTACATTAGATTTTAGTGTATTATGTCATTTTGGATTATTATTTTCTGACTTATACGAAAGTCTGATTTTGGTTGTTTTTGAAAATATGCAGTGATTTAAAAAAAATAATAATGTTTTATCTACCCCTTTAATTTGCATTATGGATTCTGTGGGGGGCACTTCAGGGCTACGGAGTAGGAAGCCCTTTTCTATAGAACAGAGACTGGATGGTCTCTGTACAAGCAGAGCAGGAGCCTGGTCCGCATTGCCGGCATAAAGTCAATCATGTTCCTGGTGCATGGTGGTCCTGCGCATAACATTCATGGACAGAATTTCTAGGTGCAACCAAGGACTGGAAGGGGGCTGGTTTGGGGGGCAGAATATCTTGTCTCTGCTTTTTGAAGATGATGTGGTTCTGCTGGCTCCCTCCTGCTAAGATCTACAGCATACACTGGGGTGGTTTGCAGTATGAAGCAGCCAAGATGAGAAAAAGATCCTCAGAGGCAATGGTTCTGGACCAGAAAAAGGTGGCTTGTCTCCTTCAGGTTAGAGCAGTGGTTCCCAAAGTGTGGGGCGCGCCCCCTAGGGGGGGCGCAATGCCATTGCAGGGGGGGCACGGGAAGCGGTATGGATGAATGAAGAAAAAAAAAAAAAAACATTGCAACCCAGATTTGAGAAGATCTACAGCAAAAAGCAGGCTCACTACAGCCACTGAAAAGATGGGAGGATTAAAGTACAAAGAAAAAACTCTCAGGGAGCTGTTAAATGTTTTCACTCCATTTTGCACACAGGCTTTTTTAATGTATAGATTATAGCAAAGTTAAATATTGTTACAAATAAAAAAAAAGAACAAAGAATCCTCTTCTAATCTACATTATAGAACTATGAAAAAAATACAGTTACACAAAAGTGTTCCACTGTAAAGATGGTGTAGTTTGTTTTGTTGCAACCTGAAGTGTGAAATAAACTTCAGTGGAGTTTGAAAACAAAATATGTGTATAGATTTATTATATCTGGTTGAACGATGTGTGTGCCCAGTTTATTCTTTTTTTTGTTTTTGTTTTTTGGGGTCGGGAGGGCGGGGGGGTTGGGGGGATGGGGGGGCGTGGAAATGTTATTGTAATCCAAAGGGGGGCCCAGAAGAAAATCTTTGGGAACCACTGGGTTAGAGGATAGTCCCTGCCCCAAGTGGAGGAGCTTAAGTATCTTAGGGTCCTGTACATGAGTCAGAGAAGCATGGAGAGGGAAGTCTGGGAGTCTCTACTGAGATTCCTGTCACTCAACCCAGTCCTGAATGAAGTGGGAGACGAACAAACTAATTCTGAAAAGCCCACTGGACTATATCATGACTATTTTTAGTTTCTGATAACTGATAATGTTTGTTAATTTGAGGGAACACCTCAAACAATCTGCAAAATGATTCAGAATAGATTTTGGGAGACCTTTGGACTATTTTCCATAGTTTCCTGATACCTAACGGTGAAACTTTTATTCTTTCAAAAAGTTATGCATAGTTCAGTATAAACAGTATGGGATTTTCCAACCATCACTATTCAGGAAAAAAAAAACATGTCCTGTGTCCCTGTTAGGAATTTGTGTCTGTGGGGAATACTGACATAAGCATAAGATATTGCAAAGGTGTGAAGATGCTTCCTAAAAAGTGGTATAATCCACCGCAAAAAGGAGTCCTATAACAAACCAACAAAAGGACAATGATCAGGGAGTACGCCATTACTTACTTTTGAAGAGGTTTCATTCGGTCTAGTAAAAACTTGCTTTTTTCCACATTTACAAATCTGAATCAGAACTATGTTGCATTGCCTATGTATAACAAAACAAAACAAAGACCCTTTTAGCAAGTGAGTCGAGTTAATTTTTTTAAAGCCCAATGCAATTTTCAGTGCTTTCTGTGATTAACTCTCTTTTAATACTGAAATGAAACCAAATATATATATTACTCATATTAGCAATGGCCATAATAAAATGTGATCTACAATAAAAACCATAACTCTCTGTTATCACTGCTTGAGCTGAACAGAACACTGTGCATGAATTAATGCCTAAAAATCTTGTGGATAGGTTTCCTAGGAAAGCAGAAGCTATTACAGCAGCAAAGCTGTATGTATGCCTTCAGCCTTGAGGTTTAAATCGTGCAGGGTAGGCCTTGTCAAACTCACTACTGGGAAAGTGGGAGCTGTGGAATCGCACTGTGTCACTGGCAACACACACCAATGACATTAACAGCAACGAGGGAGAGTCGTTATTCTTTCTTAGATAGCAAAGCTAGATAACTGGATGGAGTGTTGATGGTTGCTGGGAAACAAAAAGGGGATGACAAGCGCGGAGGACTGACTCATTGTGTTGACCAAGCAGCTTTCTCTTCCATGTGAGGCAGCTTCGGCATTTTTCTCTCCTCTTATTAGCATACCCTGACTCCATCCATAAATTCGACAGTATACGTGAGTATTTGCCATTCACTCGGCAAGGCTGCTAAATGCGTCATTATCTCTAACCTCACAATCACACAATAGCATAGAGAGAGAGAAAAAATGGGAAGCATCACAACTGGTAAAAAAAAAAAAAAAACTACAAATTTAGTGTTTTTCTCATGCTGTATTTCATCTAACAGTAGCATTGGAGATGTGGCAACATGGAATTGGATGAAACACTAGACACATTTAATAGGACCCCAGATAAAGTGCGCAAAAAGTCCTACTGACTTTGTCTTTAAATTCATGTTTAACTATATTTAGGAAAAACAAATCATTTCATAACACCTTTTTTTTTTTCCTTTGAGGGTACAAGTGAGTATCGTACTTGTGTGTATGCACATTTATGTAAATATAGATTTGCTTGATAAAAGCAAGTTGGGCTAATGTTAACACCTTTCATCTTTAGTGAAGTAGTATAATCTAACACTGACAACGGCCAAAGCATGTGCTTGACTTTAGTAGATGTGTCCCCTGTTTAAAAAATTGTATGTTTCAACATTATCTCATAACAAAAATGTTAACATTGTTGGTAAGTAGTCATCTACTTTAACATTTAACAGGGTAGGATCCTGAAGAGAAGGGATTTTTGAGAATTCCAATACTTTAATGACCAAATAGTTTTGAGTCCTGGCACATTGATCTATGCAACATGTTTTCCCACCTCTCCTTCAATCCTATTTAATGTCTGTGTACTTTGAAAAAGTATTTAAAAAAGCCAATTAAAGGTATTGTGGAGGATTTTCACAATTTTTTTTAAAAATGACCTGTCCTCTCCACTCTAAAAAAATGCGCGTGCGGGAGCATGCACAAGCCCATTTCTACTTGTGCATGTCTGTTTAAAAGTTTAAAAGTTGCTTTGCTTCTGAGCCCTTTCCTGTCTTCTCAAACACTTCATAGAGGCTTTTTCTCTTACGACCCTCTGCCATTTTCAATCAACCCCGATAAGAAAGGTAAACTTTAATGAGTGTCTGAAACTGTAGCTTACCACATATATAAGCCTGAAAGTGCGGGATGAGCACGTAGGACGGCCTTACGTAAACATATCACAAGAATGATTGACAATTAGGAGGACCATGTATTTAGATGATCCACCCGGAAATAAAACATCATCCTCTATACCTTTAATGTATAAAAAAACCTTTGAGAATAAGCCAGACATAAGTTAAAGAGCAGAAATTTCCAGGAATTCTAGATGCTATCTATCATTTATACCAAACCCACTTTGATTGTTGCACAAAAGTTCCAATTTGGTATGGTTCCATATCAAGTCCCATGAGGACAATTAAACTATCAGCAAATGTTTACATTTTTAATGAACAAACAAATACAAAAAAAAAAAAAAAATTTATCTTGGTGATTACTCCAAAAATAACCAGTTGGTATGAAGATAGTTCCAAATGGTTCTCATGAGGACCAGATTAGTCTATTTCCTGAACAGAATAAATAAATAGCAGGATAAATGAATCACATTTAGGCTTACCTGGTTGGGAGCAACACACATTTTTCACAGAAAGACAGAAATTTATTGCTAATTAAAAATTCCTGACACCCAGGAGCATTTGAAAAGGTAAAATCTGAATAAGATTAAAATTATGAAAGATTTGAAGAAGAAGTATTGGTGCCACCAATGGTTGTATCAAAAACAATTATTTATTTTTTATGTTAAAAATGTAAAAAAAAAAAAAATTAAGTTTAAGATTATTCAATTAGACAAATAATTATTTTCAATGTTTAGGCTAACATTAAGAAGTGTCTCTGACACTGTAATTCTTCTTACTTGCATGTATACAATAAGAAATAGTCTCTGACTATCATTCATGTTTAATCCTAACTGAGTATTTTCCTATACCAACAGGAATTCTACATACTGCATGAAGGTCTCTATGTCTTTGACTGTGGCTGAGAATGACACTGATCTTTGCTACAACTCCAAAATGAGAAGACCCGAGAAGGCTGAGCTTAGTAAGAGCAAAGACATCCTCTGTCCTGATATAGATGACTACGTTGAACCTGGGAAGGAGCCTGGAATCACGTGGTACAAGGTGAGCTTTCTTTGGGAATAAAATGTGTTAATTATATATTTAATCACTAAGGTTAAATATATCCTGCCTTTTTGTTAGATGCTAACATTTTTATAGATAGTGCTGCCTTTTTGAAACAGGCATAAGAAGGTATCTACTTTTGTGATTATACAACTGGGAAATATTATTTGATGCTTCATTAGTTTGTTTTCATCTAATTTCTTGGCTGTTTGGATTTAAAAACGTTGTTGGGAATGCAGTTCCAAATCACTTAGTCAGATTACAGTATGTATGGAGGCAATTACTTAAGCTATATTTGCATTGGTTCTCACTGCTCTCAAAGATGAGGGAAAAGAGCACTGTGCAGAGGACAGCTGCAGCAATGAATTTAATAATGAGCACAAAACTTTGGGGAGAATACATTTATTCAATGTCAGTTTGTGCCCTGTGGAAAGAGTGGATGCCCTACAAATGCTCCTTCACCCAGAGACACCCCCTCTCCTGGGTCCTTGTTTTTCCCAGGTCAGGCACGGCCTGCGGACAACAAAGTGCATCCCAACCAAGGGGTTGAGGCCAAACTAATCACAGGCAGATCAGCAGTAGATTAACTGGCTAGGCTTGACCTCAAGTTCTCTCTAAAATTCAATTACAATCTGGGTAATGACTGGGAGTGCTGGGACCCAGAGTTATTTGGACCTCGGTGGAGCCTCTGTGATTGAATTCAGAAGTTGCCGGGAGCAAGAATAGAATAGAATACGCCGAGCAGTTGTTGTCCCTGCTTGAGTGTCAAAGAGCCAGAGAGTGGATTGTATCATATAGTTACTCATTGTGCTTGCACACGGATACTGGCGTATTTGCACCGAATCAGAACAAACACACTTATTGTGCCAGAAGAGACTTCTGTAAATAAAATTCTCCTTCCTCTGTGGCTTTAGTAGAATATTGAAAGGAGAATATTCAGTTCAGTGCAATAAATCATAATGAGATAAGAAGGATGATGGCAAAGCCCTATCATTTTACAATATAGAATTATTTTGTCAATGTCAATCCATACATTCCAAGCACTTTATCCTGTGGCTTAGACAAGCATGCTATTTTAAATGTTTTGGTTTCCAGCTTGAATAATGAGCAAGTATATATAGATGAAACTTTACTTTATGGATGCAATATATTTACACTATTTCAACCTTTTAAAGTTTTGTCCCCTTTAAACCAAAAATGTTAAATTTACATTATCATTCATAGTAAGCCTCAAGAGTAAGAAGTCAAGAAAGCTTTTCTAGGGGCTATCCATTTTGTTTTCAAGTCAAGCTAGAGTATGAGTCTCATTGGAAATGTTAAAACGGACCTGTTCTTGGCTGCCCTCTGTCACAAGTCCTCTCATAAATGTTGTCCCTCTGCATGGAGGACCATTGGAATTCATCCCTGCTGTATGTGGATGGTTTGGTTCTGCTGGCTCCCTCTGGTCAAGATATACAGCATGCATTGGGGGGGCTGAGCTCCTAAATTAAAAGACGTAGGGATGACAATCAGCTTCTCCAAGTCTTAATCCATTGCTCTTAATTGAAAATATTGGGTTTTTGACTTCTGGTCAGGGGGGAGTTGCACATACTGCATCATGAGTGAAGGCAAAATAAAACCGGAGATTGACAGACAGATTGGTGCAACCAATGTAGTAATGCAAATGCTACAGTGGTTCGTTGTCGCGAAGAGTGAGCTTCTCCGAAGGGCAAAACACGCTATTTTCTGATTAGTTTGCGTTTCTACCCTCAACTATGGTCATGAAATCTGAGTCATGACCAAAAGAATGAGTTCCCAAACATGGAGTTTAAATTAGCTTCCTCCAAGGGTGTCCATGCCCTCCCTTAAAGATAAGTATAGTTTTGCTCGACATGAAGTTAACCCTTTAACTGCCTGGTTTACCAATTTACCATTTGTGCACTGAAATGCAGGTTGGAGGTTGACAAGGTAGTTAAATGGTTAAGGTGGACTGGACATCTGATCTGGATGCCCACTAGACACCTCCCTTAGGAAATATTCCACAGAAGGTTGCCCAAGACAAGCCTTGGACACTGTGGATTGGCTATGTTTCTTGGAGTTAAGAGGTTTGTCCGATGATACGGAAGTCTGGGCTGTCTGCTGCCCTTACAATTCAATCTCGAATGAATAGAAGATAGCAAGTTCTTGTATGAGTACAGCTGTTTATTGGATGTCATTAAACTGTGCCAAGAAGCAGGTGATTACTCTGAGCGGCGGCTTATATCTACTGTTGAGCTATGATAATCTGTTGGCAGATCCAACTAATTGGATTGCCATGCAATCCGGAAATCTTAAGTTAATATAAGATTGACAATCAAACCATAATAAACCCATGCCCATATAGAGGACATGTGACACATGTAAAATAAACTACTCTATTTAAATGAGATAATAAATGAACGTTTTGGTCTACATGCAAAAAGTTACTCTATGTGGATCAGAATATGAAACGTCTTCAAATCTTGGAAACCAAGTCCAGTGGATATTTCTTGAATTTTTACGGAAAAGGTCTAAACCATCTGTCTATCTGTATGAAATGATGTTTCATGAATTGGTGCTAAATGAATAAACTGAATTGAACTGAATTAGCTTGATATCAAATTGAGAATCTTGGACCAGACTTATAAATTGCATTTTGTTTGTTTTTTTTCCAATCTAAATACACGTCTTACTTTGCAAACAGGTTCAGCTTTGATTACAGTAAAAACTGGCCGTAGCAAGTGTTGATTCAGGCCAAATTAACAATGCATGTCACATTTTACAGATCTTTAACCCTAATGATTTTAGAAGACCATAGATAATTTATCTTCAAAATTATACCTTATGTTGTGTTAATGTATGCCATGGAATATTAGCAACATGAATTAAAATTTGTAGCTGTAATGTGAAAAGAATTAGATTAAAGTGCAGTTTGGTATCGATACTTTTTGAGTATTTAAAACACTGTATAAGTCTAAAGTGTAAACTGATTGTAAAATTGTTTTGCCATGTCAAAGTACTTTTTTTTATCTGTCTATTTCCAGCTCCCAAGTGATGCATTAATTATCATTGTTTAAGATAATATTAGACACTCTGACCCAGCTGTCCTCTATAATGCAGGAGTGCCGTCCAAAACAGTGGCGGACCAGCATTATCCAGAAGAGAGACATTTTGTCATTTCAAGAAGTAACGGAGGACGACATTGGGAATTACACCTGCGAAATCCAGTTTGGTGGCTTTGTTATCAGAAGGACAACGGAACTTACAGTAACTGGTAAGAAGGAACTAATCGTCCCAATAGGAATTATTGCTCATATATTAGAAAACAAACACTTGGAGGAAAACAAGGTGCCTTAACAAATGTATGCACACAAACACAAAGAGGCAGACTTACCACTGAGTATGGCAATGATTTCCTGCTGCTGAGTTAATTGTTGGGGGAGGCTGAACGCTGTGGCCTGGCCCCTATTCTTCCTTCAAGCTCAGCACTTTCCAGACAGCCAAGCAGTACTGAGATATTTAAGGCTATAGGCTACAGCCCTTCACACAGAGCTAAAGAGCCAGGCACAAGGTCAAGAGATTTATTCTCTGTGTCTGGGTGGATCTATTCTCTCTTTCCCTCATTTCCTTGAAATGTGAGTTGCATGGTGGATACACAACAAATAAATACATCCATGTGTCAAAAACAGAATGTAGAGAGATGTGTTTTCTAGTAAGTCAATTGCACTGGTTTGTGTTGATGAAAAGGACACATTTTTTTGGCATTTTATATTTCATCTTGATGCAGGTTTTCACTACATCATTTAAAACTGTAGACTTCAGCAACACAAAAACTTAGCAACAGAAATTGTAGCATCAATGTTCCCAGGTGATGATGTGATAGCATAGTCAATGTCATTCTGGTTTAAATGCCCTCTCAAACATTCCACAGATGCCTCTCACATATTCAACCTTTTGCCTCATTCCACACACATTTATAATGCAGCATTCTTTTGTTGCATAGTGTTTCCACATCTTTAATATGCCTTATCTATATTATTTACATGCACCTTCTTTTAAGCATTGGATGAGGACAACAGTCTGTATCTTTGGCCAGAGCAAGGACGCTTTGACACATGACCTAGTTGGAATTTGTAACTACCTATATATATATATATATATATATATATATATATATATATATATATATATATATATATATATATATATATTAGTGCTGTCAAAATTATCGCGTTATTAACGCGTTAACGCGAGGCCATTTTAACGGCGATAATTTTTTTAACGTGAGATTAACGCTATGTGGTTTTATGGTACAATTTTTCCAAGTACATCCCGCTGCAGCCTGCGGGAAGGCGGGGCTATTTTCCCCCAGTCTATGCATTTCTCATAGGCTTCTAGAGCGGAGCTCCTCAAGGGAAAAAGACGCTCATACACTGGGTGACGCTAGGGCCTTTTCTTTAAGCCCCACCACCAACAAACAAGTTGAGTGTCTGGTAACTAGTAGCAACCTGAAATACGCTGAGAAAACTGATTACTGAGGTGAAATGGAATCTCGTAGCAGCCCTCTTGCCGTCTGTGTACGCAACAGGTCAGTATCGCGTGTGTGTGTGTGTGGGTGGGTGTGTCTGTGTGTGGGTGAGTGGGTGTGTGTGTGTTCTCATTTTTGTTAAGAGGCTGAAAAGTAACTTTCTAGAGAGCATAGACTACCTTCATCTAGTGATGTCGGTCTATTGATTTTGATGTATTGATTGAAAATTGTTCATTATTACCTTGGTTAATTAACATCTAATGTTAACTCTACTGCATTTTATAGCGGTAGGGTAAAATGCTTGTCTTTGTTCAAAAGACTGTATTAACTGTAAAGACTGTCTTTTACATCAGCCTGTTTTCAGGGCCTTTTTTTTGGCTACATATTTGTTATTTTTTGCTACATGCCTCCCCATCTTCTTGCCATATGTTTCTATGGCATAAATCAGTATCTGTGACCTGTTTTCATTTTAAAAAAAGAACATTGGCACAAACCTAGCCTGTATGTATTTTTTTGTATGTCATCGAGAGTATTTAAATGATTTTCAATCAGGAAAAAAATGTGCGATTAAAATGCGATTAATCGCGAGTTAACTCAGGCATTGATGCGATTAATCGCGATTAAAAAATTTAATCGATTGACAGCACTAATATATATATATATATATATATATATATATATATATATATATATATATATATATATATATATATATATATATATGGTGGAGGATGACAGAGCTAAGATCCTGTGGGACTTCTAAATACAAACAGTAAAATGGTTGTGTCCAACCTACCGGACATTGTGATCATTGATAGGCAGCAGAGGACAGTACTGATCAATGGCCATCCCAAATGATTAAAACATTAAATAAAAATAAAATGAGAAATTCAAAAAATACCAAGGCCTCATGGTAGAAATAGAGAGAGCCTGGAAGATGAAGGTAACAGTAGTGCCTGTGGTCATTGAGGCACTTGGGATACTAACGCCCACACTGGAAAACTGGCTCCAACAGATAACTGGACAAAGATCATAGATCTCAGTCCAGAAATGCGCAGTTCTAGGGACAGCTTAAGTACTGTGAAGAACCTAAAGCTCCCAGGCCTCTGGTAGAGGACCTGAGCTTGACAAGAAGGGAAGGCCCAACTCACCCAGGAGTACAAGGATTGGGTGAGAGAGTAATTTTTTAAAATAAATATATGGATTTATCTTTGCCTTCAGTTTTGAAGAAAGTAAATTTATTTGCCCTATTCCTGGTGGGGCTGCTGGAGGATTGATTATCTCTCTGAGTTAAAGATTGATTATTCCTTCAATCAGTAAATTTGTTTTTATTGACTTCCAACAGCTGAGCAATCAAGAGGAACAAGCCTAAAGAAACTAAATCTAAAGTGACAACCGATACCCATGCGAGTGGATTTTGATCTAGTTTTAAAATAGAATAAAGGATGAAATTCCTAACTTCCTTCATGCTGCGGCTATGACAGCTACACAGAGAAACAAAGTAGCCTTCTGAACGGATTGACTATCTGCTAAGGGCTGATCAGGTATGCTTAACCAATACTGAGTTAGGTAGTTTTTGTTTTCTTGTCTGTTTGTTAGATGATAAGGCAGAATTTTTTTTTTAAAGAATGACAAATCATTACATTGTTGATATGTTTTAACCCCTTAATTCCAGTAAATTCTAAAAGAAGTATACCAAAATGCAATTAGATGCTGTTCTTAATCTGTTCTTTTAGAAGTAGATGCAAAAGCATGGCGCCCCTTTAAAGGTGGCGTGAGATTTTTATTTGTTGGACTGGTAGAGAGTTTTTAGTTAAGGAAGGTGGAACTCTCAGAAGATAGAGATGAGCATAATGACGTCCTCATAACAGTAAAGGGGTTAAAGATTTTGCGGGACTAACAACCTCTTTTTATGTTATTCAAGTGGAAAATAGGCAAGAAGAGGTGAAGAAACATATAGTGAAGATCCCAAAATCAAAAGTCAAACCCAGGGCATGTATGTCAAGGACTAAAATCCTCTCGATATGAAACACCTACCTACCTCTGTGCTTGCTCCAAAACTTGACATATTTTGCAATCATGTTAAACATCTCTCTTTTATCCTAACATTTATATGCCCGGTAAAATGTAGATCGAAACCATAATATAATCTGAAATCAACATAGGTTCAGTTTTCCCCAAATTTCTGACATGTGTCCAAAATCTTAGATAGTTAATATTTCCTACAATTTTGTGCTTCCACTTCGTTTTTTTTAAGTATCTCACCTTCTTCCAGCCGTAACAACCTCTATCACAGAGAGTGTTGCTTTAAGGGCAGCCTGATAGCTTGTAGGTTTGTGGTGTTAACTGATTGGGGAAAAATGTCTTTATTTCTTTAATTTCACAAAAGCTGAAATTGACTTTGAGTACTAGCTGATTTTTTGTGCATTTTTAGTTACATAGCCTCTGCATTAAAATACAATGTGTGCCTCTTGGGAAAACCTCACTGTGTTTAATAGCTATTAAAATCAATAGTTAAAATAAATCACTTATTAGGGTTATACCAGATTCTGCGATAATGTACACAAAAAAATCTAAAACATATTCTTAATGTGTTTTATTTATGGTTAATACATTTTGTAGTTACATAGTCAAATGTATATATAAGCTGATACAGTACAGTGGATTAATGTTTTCCTAAAGAAGTTGAATTTTACTTACAACCAGGAAAGCTATCAGGCAGGCACCACACAAGTGGTCAGATTCTCCTGTTAGGTTCTAAGAGAAAAAGGTTATTATCTGACTAAGTCCACTAGTTTTTAAATGGTTTGAAAAAGGAAGAAATACTATGGAAGAGGAGGCTTTATGAAAAGCAAGGAGGGAAAATAGAAGGAAAACACTGTTGTTTGTTTGGCTTTTTAATGCCTGTTTAAACTTTTAAACCTTGTTTTGTGGCCTTGGTTCTTAAGTATAAGAATAGATTTTTCTTTATTTGTTCAGGTTGGGTTCATTAAAATGCAACATATGCTCCTCTGTCTTTTAAAAGTCCTGGTGATATTGGTAGCTAATGAAAATTTATATAAAGGTTTTATTAAAAAAGTAGCATAATATAAAGAGGGATTGGGTGTTAACAAAGAGGAAAGGATGTAAAAATTCTAAGGAAGCCTGTTCTTCTTAACAGTACTGTGGATTTCTTGTTACTTTTTTCATAAAATCACAGCAAATGCAGTAGCAGTCTTGTTGCCTCTATAAAAGTACTATTTGTTTTGCATTATTATATAGCATTTACCTTATTGCAACAGTGGGCCATCTTCTCTTTACAGCTCCAGCATCCGGACAGAATCAAATTAGCTCCTCCTCACCACAGACTCATTTCTTTTAATAAACCCGCACCACATCCCCTCAAGTGGGCGTGCGATTACCCACATTTTATCACATCCTGTTAAAACCACCATTGCCTAGACAGCAAGTATAAAAGGCCAAACTATGTTTAAGATCCAGACACTAATGTTTTACTATTTTTTTTCTTCTTCCATAGGCCAGGAGGATAAAGGAGGTCATTAAGTTTAAATGATCCTGAATTTAGTGCCATAAACACCAGCCTTTACTCTGACCCTGCCTTGCTACAGATTGAGGAGGGTATGTGTGTGTGTTTGCTTTTCTCACTTTGCTCCACTATATAAAAGAGGAGACAGAGTTGCTATATCTGAGATGAGGTCAGCCTAGTAATAGAGGTTAACTATGGGCATAAACAAAGCATCATGCTG